CTATTCTAATTATGAAGGCCGCTACAAGACTATAAGGGTCTGAATAATTGCTTAGCGTTCCTTGTTATGCTTGTACTATTACAATATGCCTCGCATCAAACCCTATTCTAATTTCTACGGCTGCCACGGCAAACATACTACTCTTGCTGGCTTGAAAACGAGGTTCTGAGGGTGGATTGCTTCTATAAGGTTCTGCTGGAACCTGTTAGGTTCGAACATGGCGGACGTTTAGGTTCTTTGCCTAAGCAACCCTACAACAACATCATGGATAATCGAATTTCTTGGGGCAGGTTTGGGGTTTTGGGTCGTAAGTTTAGCTGCAAAGGGAGTTTTGGCCTCAGGGTTTAGTCGGGTATAGAGCTAGCTTGAGGTTCATTCATGCTTCAGCGTCATAAAACTTATCATTGCAAAGCTGCAGCAAAAGCTCTCCCAAGTGTTCCAAGAACTGTCGTAGTTGGCGTGGCGATGTCTCGTGCTTGACAGGGCGGGGGCGTGAAGTCCTGTCTCAAAGGAGGGGGTGTATCAATCAGGGAGTTACATTTGGAGCAGAAGCCCGCTAGCTATAGTCCACATACATTTATCGAAGATGTCCAAGAGCTACCAAACAAATCCTAATACTACACTCATTTCTCAACCCCCTTTCAAGGTGCTCACTGAAGCAGGGACGAGTCGGACCAGCCCACGGCTCAGCATGCTTTGTCTGGGCAAGAGTCCTTAGCGGCTCTGCGGGGGTTTAATTTATGGAAGCTTTGTGCGGGGTGGGTTGGGTTTTTAGGGTCTTGATTCCCTGGCAACGACGGCATCATGCTTGTTATGAAGTTTCCGTGTGAGAGACAGTAGGCATTTCTTTTGATCAGGGGTACCGTGTTGAAACTCGAGGCTGCTTACAACAAGAGTCTCCTCCGATTTGGGGGTTTTGCTGGGGTGACAGATCCCTGAAACTGCTAGATGTTCTGGCTACGTGGAGACCAAAGAAAGCTGGATCATGATGAGTCCGAAGGCATAAACCCCCCTACACCCTACAAAAGCCTACAGAACCCCTATACAAAGCTTATCGAATCCTTGTAAACAGACATTGAAATCCCTTGTTGGATCCTTCCAAACCCAACAAAAGCACTACAAACCCCCGAAACTCCCCGAAACATGAAAGCCGGGCTCAGAGGTCAGTATAACTCAGTCCTCCGACCTTCCCCTGCTTCCAGAGGTGCGGGCTCCGTAATTTCGGGGGGGGGGGGGGGGGGG